CAGCACGCTCAGTAGCCCGCAATTTCTGATGATGCGACAACGCACGCAGCGTGACAACAACGGCGACAAAGAAATGCGCTTAGCATGATTCACTAGTGGCCGCCATGGTTAGCGAGGTGCATCACTGGCTTGGACTACTGGACACTTCTGGATTGGCTGGTCACTGGTTCATGGAGATGCGGAAAAGAAAGACAAGTTTTAAATGCATTTTTGAAAAAAGCTTAGTCTAGTCACGCCTAAATTGCCAACAGCTCAATAGGCAACACTATTACCAATACGCCAATCAACCATCCCGCCACTCGCCCAGGGCTCAGCGGGGCGAAATCGCCTCGGCGCTCGAGGGGCTCGGCATCACGTCCAAAAAACATTGCCCGTTTCCTCCCCAAGTCAATTCCCCCGGGCTCAAACCACCATCTGTCGCGTAAGACGATCCCAATTTGCCAGCTCTGTCGCGTGGCGTCATTTGTTTTGCCGTCCGGACTGTCCGGCCACATCTCATCTGACGGAAGATCGGAGCGGCTGTCCAGGGGGCGCCGCTCGGTCCGGTCTGGAGCCGTGTTTTGTGGCCTCTCCAGGGGAGCGATTCTCCCGGGCCCCGCGACGCACGCGAGTCGTCAGCAGCCCCTCTCCCCCTCTCCCCTTCCCTCGCGCGCGCAACCTTCGGTTTGGGTTATAGGTTCTGCCTGCCGGTTTGTACCGGTTTAAGCCAGCTGGCAGAACAAACTAAAGAACAAAAAAGGCAAAAGCTATTAAAAAATTCAAGTACTGCACAAACGTCGCATATACCATTGCAAACAAATAGAATTGAACGGAATAACAAAATGGCGATATAAGTCATGTGCTGGGCATTATAAGCAAATGAAGCTTTAGGGGTACCTTTTGCTCTTGCTTTTCCCACTAACATTAAGCCGATTTTGGGAATGCTACGATGGGAATCAGTACTAGATTATTAATTTTCACCCCACCAACCCTTCTTAGAGAGAGACAGAGGGAAGATGGATGCATACATAAAAAGTAACCACAAATATTGAATTCATCCTGTCATAGACAGAGGATGATTAGCTTTGTCGTAAACAGGATAATTATTCACATCGGCGGTAACCTTATCATGGATTAGATCCTATAAATATATTGTCCAAAAAACTAATAAGCTCAATAAAAGCTCAAAGCTGTATTACCATGAAGTGATAGGAATTAGTCCTATCTGGCTGCAATACTAACCTCGTGACCTGCGGGTCCGAGCTACATGTCATCGAACGCTGCTCTAGATGGCGCGTCTACTGTGCTGTTACTGGACTCGTGACCTGCGGGTCCGAGTTACCTGTCGTAGAACGCTGCTCTAGATGGCGCGTCTACTGTGCTGTTACTGGACTCGTGACCTGCGGGTCCGAGTTACCTGTCGTAGAACGCTGCTCTAGATGGCGCGTCTACTGTGCTGTTACTGGACTCGTGACCTGCGGGTCCGAGCTACATGTCATCGAACGCTGCTCTAGATGGCGCGTCTACTGTGCTGTTACTGGACTCGTGACCTGCGGGTCCGAGTTTACCTGTCATCGAACGCTGCTATGATGGCGCGTCTACTGTGCTGTTACTGGACTCGTGACCTGCGGGTCCGAGCTACATGTCATCGAACGCTGCTCTAGATGGCGCGTCTACTGTGCTGTTACTGGACTCGTGACCTGCGGGTCCGAGTTACCCGTCGTAGAACGCTGCTCTAGATGGCGCGCCTACTGTGCTGTTACTTGGACTCGTTGACCTGCGGGTCCGAGTTACCTGTCGTAGAACGCTACTCTAGATGGCGCGTCTACTGTGCTGTTACTGGACTCGTGACCTGCGGGTCCGAGTTACCTGTCGTAGAAACGCTGCTCTAGATGGCGCGTCTACTGTGCTGTTACTGGACTCGTGACCTGCGGGTCCGAGTTACCTGTGTCGTAGAACGCTGCTCTAGATGGCGCGTCTACTGTGCTGTTACTGGACTCGTGACCTGCGGGTCCGAGTTACCTGTCATCGAACGCTGCTCTAGATGGCGCGTCTACTGTGCTGTTACTGGACTCGTGACCTGCGGGTCCGAGTTACCTGTCGTAGAACGCTGCTGTAGATGGCGCGTCTACTGTGCTGTTACTGGACTCGTGACCTGCGGGTCCGAGTTACCTGTCGTAGAACGCTGCTGTAGATGGCGCGTCTACTGTGCTGTTACTGGACTCGTGACCTGCGGGTCCGAGTTACCTGTCGTAGAACGCTGCTCTAGATGGCGCGTCTACTGTGCTGTAACTGGAAGAAATGAAGTGTCGCTGAGCTTAGTGTGATTGAAATTTGTTGAAAACTGGCGGTTGCATGCCTTCTTCAAGGCTGCAATTCGAGGCATGTGCCCCGGCAACTGTCTGCAAAGCCGCCTAGAGAAGTGAAAAATGCGGACCGCACAGACCACGCACGAAACGGTAGCTTTCTTACCAAACGGTTTGCAACATGCATATGTACTGCGTCATAAATGTCTTCCGAACGTACCATACTAATGTGGCCAGTCAAACCCATCTTAAGCTTCAGCTTGAAACACTGCATGATGATGCATGACGTAGGGCATGTCAGCACAGCTCTGGCATACCCGATTTTATGCGTTGCTCGGGTTTATTTTGAAGGGCATTTAAAGAGAAGACTAACGTCCGTTAGCTCCGATCTCGTGGTCATAATAATTTGGAAATCCGATCAATGGCCGCGCGCGTGTTCAATGTACATGCGTGGGTGTGTTTGTGGGTGATCTTGCTCCTCTGCCAACAAGTCTGCCTCTATATTGTTGACACGAAAACGTGGAAGGTCAGTGTGCATAGGGATGGTCTCACAGTGAAGTCCATTCTGAAAAAATGGAAGATTTAGGCTTCTGACTTTCATTCTGCTCCGTTCCCAAACCCATGGCTGGCCATCAGACGTCTTTGGGACGCATCAGCTGCCGAGTTGCATATCGGTGGCGGGATCTGTAACTGGCAACTGCACAGTTGCCATGGCAACGACATCGCTAAGGTTCACACTTCTGCCAGGCGACTCTGATGTATCTGTTATCCGCTGCTCCTCCAGGCGCGAAACACCAAGCTCACGGCCAGAGTTTTCCTCAGGATTGATGGAAGATTTTCTCCGAAATCCTGCGAGTCTGGGCCAGGTTCCTGTGAAATCGTCCGGTATCCAACTCAAAGCTCTCAACTAAGGGGAGGGGTCATGTCGCCGCGGCTCTTCTCTTTGACTACGTCCTGCGGATGGCCCAATGCTCCTCTGCTGCGCCGCAAGAGGGATGCCACCATTACGGTTCCACACGGCTGATGCGAGTCGAGCGGAACTCCAAACATGGCACCCGGTCCGGCCATCCATAACACCAGCACGCCTTCCCAATTGGCGCGGACGCCACCGCACCTACGGGTCGCATTACATCAATTACCCCGAAACACGAGCCGCGCCGCAATTGGCAAACAATTGAAATAAGTAAAAACTGAGCCCCGCCTTCAGCCCCGTCCGAAACGCGGGGAGTAACCCGAACCCGTGTATCGGCGGTAATCACACACCACGCGCTACCGAGTCATTCACGAGCGCCGACAACTGCCGGTAATTGTATGCTAAATTGCGCCCGCTCTGTTCTGTTGCCGGGCCAATGCGTGGCGAACGCGTCCCGCCGTCGAGCGGACAGCTGCGCAGACCGATGCGTGACCGACCGACGGAGCCTGGCTGGGCCAAATTACGGCCCGGTGTGCATCTGTGGCCGTTATTTACGCGCCGTACATGGTGCCAGGGGAACCTGAAGTCGGCATGACACGTTCAAAAACACCTTTGCCGTCGGTACATTCACTTTCCTTGCAACGCAACGGTAGCTCAGTCTACAGACTTGGTGCTGGCGGCATGCTATGAATGTTCCGCGTGCGTGCGAGGAAGTAAAGACACAGGTCATCAACATGGCTTCGACAATTATCCTGACATCTTTCTATGATACTCCTAAGCATTCATACAACAGTAATCGGCGGATAAATAAAAAAAGCACTAAAAAATTCAGCATACTCTAGATGATTGAAGCATACTTTCACATCAGTAAGTTAAAAATATACCCATTAACAAAATTCATCGTCTTACACCACTCGAAACATTGTCACACATCGATGCCAAGAACTTAACGCTATAAAATGTTGTTTGGAGATGATTATGACCTTTCTGCACTGAGGATTTCTTACAAGTGCTCAAGCCGCTCTGAAATAGGATCGTCTCTCCATGTAGAAAGCGTAGAGAAGGGAAGAAAAGAGTTTCTCTGTGGAGAACGCTTGACTCAACCGTAGCAACCAACTCGAGTTTGACTTCGCTGCGAAAAAGCATAGATTTCCTACCTCCCTTTTGTGCCCACTCCTTCACGGGCACGATTGAGTAACTTACAGTTATGTTGCATATGTTGCATATAGTTGGCATATGTTGTATATAAGTTGGCATATGAATCAATTAGATTATGCTTGCACCATACCAACTTATACCAACTTATAGATCCACAATGGCGCTAAGCAGTCCAGCTCTTGAGATTCCAGGAGATCTCACACCTCGAGATTCAAAGGGTGGATCTGCTTCCGTCCAGCGTTCAATGATGTCTCTCTCCGCGCGGCCCCCGAGGAGGCCTCCCTCTCACGACGGCACGTGTAACGCACCCCGGCCCCGCGTCCGGCACAGCCGCTCGGTCCGCTCTGCATGGACACCGCTCTGCACTGCGTCTGCTGCGCAGAGCAGCATCCGCGGCTGCCCCGCGGCACCTTCGGCGGAGTTCAATGGCCACATCTCGTGGCGCGGCAGGACTGGACGCCGCGTTGCAGCACGCGCGCTGAGTGGGGAAGGTGACGGCGGCGAGGCCGCGCGGCTGGGATCGGTCCTGGCGACGACGCGGACGGTGAGGTGAGAGACAACACGGACTGTCGACTGGCCTGCAGTGAGTTTGTAAAGTGAGAGGATGTGTGGACTGTCGGCTTGTCTGCGGTGAGTGCGTGAGGTGGGAAAGAGCACGGGTGGTCGGCTTATCTCCGGTGAGTGTGTGAGTTGACTAAGAGTACGGACTGTCTGTAACAGGGAGAGGGGGAGGAAAAATGAGAGCGGGAGAGAGAGAAAAGAGAGAGAGAGAGAGAGAGAGAGAGAGAGAGAGAGAGAGAGAGAGAGAGAGAGAGGGAGAGAGAGAGAGGGAGAAAGAGAGAGAAGGAGTGAGAGCAATATGTTCACTGTAGACCAGCCGACAATCGTGCTCTCTCTCTCTCTCTCTCTTATCTCCTCTCTCTCTCTCTCTCTCTCTCTCTCTCTCTCTCTCTCTCTCTCTCTCATCTTCTCTCTTCTCTCTCTCTATCTCTCTCTCTCTCTCTCTCTCTCTCTCTCTCTCTCTCTCTCTCTCTCTCTCTCTCTCTCTCTCTCTCCTCTCTCTCTCTCTCTCTCTCTCTCTCTCTCTCTCTCTCTCTTCTCTCTCTCTCTCTCTCTCTCTATCTCTCTCTCTCTCTCTCTCTCTCTCTCTCTCTCTCTCTCTTCTCTCTCTCTCTCTCTCTCTCTCTCTCTCTCTCTCTCTCTACTCTCTCTCTCTCTCTTCTCTCTCTCTCTCTCTCGCTCTCTCTCTCTCTCTCTCTCTCTCTCTCTCTCTTCTCTCTTCTCTCTATCTCTCTCTCTCTCTCTCTCTATCTCTCTCTCTCTCTCTCTCTCTCTCTCTCTCTCTCTCTCTCTCTCTCTCCTCTTCTCTCTCTCTCTCTCTCTCTCTCTCTCTCTCTCCTCTCTCTCTCTCTCTCTCTCTCTCTCTCTCTCTCTCTCTCTCTCTCTCTCTCTCTCTCTCTCTCTCTCCTCTCTCTCTCTCTCTCTCTCTCTCTCTCTCTCTCTCTCTCTCTCTCTCTCTCTCTCTCTCTCTATCGATATATATATATATATATATATATATATTATATATATATATATACATACACATATGTATACAGTCGTAGTACCATTACTGCACTTGTATGACCTCATCCTGCTTAGTACCAGCTGTAATCCCATTCATACCTACACATATTCGCTTGTGCGCAAAATGACCACAGTAGTCGACGCGCCCTAAAACTCCAATCGACAACAACATATTCTCTTGTGGCGGTGCGCGTGTGTTCGTTTTGCTATTTACTTTTGCGGCAATGGCCTATTACACAGCTGTTCAGCGTGCACGGGGCACTGCGGCTCTACGTGACGTTAATTATTCCCTGCTTTTCCGCAGCCTCCGCAAGAAAGTGCGGACGTCCCTCGATGAATTAGCGATGCTTCAAATCCTCCGCCCGCTGAGCATGAAAATTCGAAAGCGCCGCACGTTGAAAGGAATAATTTTGGTGGGAGCATCAAGCCTGCTGGTTTTAGTGTGGCTCGGACCATCCAAGCAAGATGAGAGGTAAGAGGCTCGTGAAGTTTGACACCCTGCAATGTTGTGAAAATATCGATTCCAAGGCGCCGCGGACAGTAACCAGAACAAACCCTAACCAGGCTACAACTGTCTCTATGCTTCAATGACCACTATGCTAAGCACTTACACAATATGTGTCACTCGGTACATGCGTTTATGTGTTAAGTGGATGACAGGGGTGAAGTGCCCATCAGTTTGGGGCTTCCGCCCTCCCCAACTTTAACGACACAGTGGGCACAAATCCAGGGAAAACCTGGTTTGGGCTTATTCTGGGGGAAGGGTTCACCATTTTTACCGTTCGCCCCACAACTCATTTCACAAAACTACCCCTAGCGAACCGTGTATCAGCAGATGACGCCTGAAAAGCATGTCCACTGCGCAGAGCAGCTTTCATGTGCATCATAGTTCCCTGGTGACAATAGTTGAGTAGAGTTTCCGTCTCTAGCTTACGTCGCAAAACGCAGACAAATGACCTACGCTCTGTCTACTGGAGTCGCAGTTGCGTGAGTTAGAGACTGCCCCCCCCCCCCCACCCCCACCCACCCCACCCAGGCGTCCACCGAGGCGCCGTGAAGAAGACCTCACACCGGAGTCTCTCAGTGCCGACTCTGGGCACCCAGCGGGCCCTGCTGAAGCCCTGTCATGTCGTGGTCAGCTGTCAGCCCGCATCGGTCGTGACTGCGCCATGGACTGACTGACTCAGAAATCCGAAGGAATCGATGTTGCTTTTTGGCATGGCATTCCATATGAAATTTTTATTCCATTGCATATAATTCTGGAATTACAGCTTTCCCCGTTCGTGCGCGCCACGCACCTGGTTGGCAGCTCGCGTGGAATTCAGACTGCTCTGTGCCCCATTGGGACCCCTGTCGGCGTACGCCCAAGCTGAGTTTCTGTCTGGGGGTTCAGTTGACTATCTGTGCTCCATTGGGACTCGTGTCGGCGTAGGCCCAAGCTGATTTTCTGTCTGGGGGCCTCAGTTGACTACTCTGTGCTCCATTGGGACCCTGTCGGCGTACGCCCAAGCTGAGTTTCTGCCTGGGTGTTCAGTTGACTACTCTGTGCTCCATTGGGACCCGTGTCAGCGTAGGCCCAAGCTGAGTTTCTGTCTGTGTCAAGTTTGTGTTCAAGCAAGGTCTAAAGTACCTCGCATGCTCCCCAGAGGTGTCTATTCTTGTGAGAACTATGCTCCCGCTATGATTGTTACCCCCTCTTCGTGTTGTTTTGGCCCTACAATATTTCTTGCTGGAATGTTACAAAAGGCAAGAAGATGGTAAAAATCATGCCTAGCTTATTTTCTCATCGTGTGCCTTTGATCGGTATTATCGTTGCTATGCTGCCAGACATAACAATTTGATAAACGCTGCAAAAATAAAGAATACACATTTCTGTTCGTCAAAAATGTGAGCCAAGGCCAATGCGAAACACACATTTTGGGGGCAGTTAGGTTGTCGGTCACCCGGCTCGGCCACCCAGTCATTACGATATGCTTTCTGTGCTCTTGTTGGGGTTCACTCGACCTGACTGCGTTTCAGCGAACACCCACCACTGAGGAGCGGGTATGACTTGAGTGTGTTCCGGCGAAGACCAACCTAATACCTGTACTCTGCGTTCCAGTTAGGAGCGGGCGTGACTTGAGGATGCTCGGGTGAAGATCCGCCGAGCATGCTGTGCTCTGTGTTCCAGTGCGGAGTGCGCGTGGCGTGACTGCCCCGTGCTCCGGTGACCACATGACTGACTAACGACTGCGCTCCGTGTTGGCGAGTCCCGCTAACCACGACCGCGCCCTGTGCTCGGTAGTGAGGAGGAGCGGCGGCCGGGCGGCAGGCCGGACCTGCTACTGGCCGCCGAGCGGCGTCTCTCGCAGCTGCAGCTCAGCTCGGAGGAGGTGTTCCGCGCCCTGCACGGCTCGCTCAGCGCCGTCACGCTGCGCCACGGCTGCAGCTCCGTGGCGCGCGTGGGCGGCCTCTGCACGTGCCAGGT